CGGGCCAACTACTGAATATCGTAGTTTTCTAATTCGATGCTTTTCGAAAAATTGTTTTGTTATTGTTAAAATAAATATTCGCTGAGTTAACTAAGTCTGTCAATTAATATCAGTCTTGCCTAGCTTTTCTGAGACACTCTGTATCATATAAAATATTTTTAAAATGCSTGCRCTTTGTGCGTCAACAACTGTTATATGAAACTATTTTTTGAAAGTTTAACACAATKAAAATAATGGACTCTCTCGCACTACAAAACCACCCTGTATATATGAATGTATTACAGATTATTCTCCGCGTTTTGGGTTSATCAGATATTATTCTGTAATATACATACTTACATACAAATAGCTAGGTATTTACAAATTATTGTTTGTATGTCTGTACATCTTTGTAGCAGTGAATGAAAATCAGGCTTATCTCCYGTATGCTCATTTATTAGAAATTAGTGCCTGGATGATGCCAAAACAATTGTTTTMAGTMATGAACCATTACATACTCCCTTGCCAAACTATTACATTTTTTGAGGTTTTGTTAGCACTATTTGGAARGAAGAATTAAACCAGTTGACTCAATTTACTTTGCTGTTAAATAGTGACATTATTGAAATCTGCATTGGCTTCCGTTTTCAGCAATCAACTTAGTTYAGTCGAAAGCGTTTATCAGTTCAGAACCAGTAGCTTTTCCACCATTTTATTCTCATACATCTTGTTGCTCTTCTTACATGCTATTTTTCYTAGTTACTTATGAACGTTTGTTTTTTAATTTGGAAACTGTCGATGAGGAAATTCAAAGTTACTCATGATCAACATTTTCGGCTTAAATTTGTCCACGTCTTCCAACAAAAATTTCTCAACGCTTTTCTGTTACTGCTGCCATTTCCATTACCTCTTTGTGTATGTTAAACGTATGCATATTTCCTCATCAGTTTCTATGTTTGTAGATTTTAATGGAATTTCATATTCGTTTACTTTTTTTCAACTGATGGAATTGTAACGAAGATTTTGGAGCTTGGATGATTGGCTCTTCGTTCATTTCTGTTGAGGTTAAAGAGCAGTTAATATATTGGTAACAATTTCAAAGTTAAATTTATAACCAGTGAATTATAGTCGCTATACATATGTGGTCAAGGAAAGTAAGTTTATGTTTTTTTTCTAATATTCGTTGATAGTACATATTTTACTATTTTAAATTACTTTACCACATATTCATAGGTAATACATCAATTTCCCGGAACCAAAGTTACGTACGTTGGTAGTACGTAAAGTACTTTCTATAATCGCTTTCAGGCATTAAAATGAGATGTTCATGACTTCCTGCAAATCATCTAAGGTCGCCAAAGCGTGCTCTTTTGGTAGTTAAACTTGCTTCTTAAAAAACTGGTGAATACTTACTAATGAACATTTTTCGGGATTCCAAATTTCGCAATTTCATTCAGAAGCTCTTCTCAAGAGATGGTTTCACTAATTTTCTATCCAAAAAATTATGAATGTCAGAAATTAAGTGGATTGAGGCATTAATGTATATGTCCTTCATATGTACAAGGAACATCTGATGCATATTTCAGTCGATATCAACGATGGCAAAGAAACAATATCGTGAAGTGTGTGAAAAAGCATCACTCTCGAAACAATTCGCATGACAATGCCATAACATAAATCTGAATAAATGAGACAATATTACGCCGTATTTTATTGCTCGCATAGTGGCCGCTTATTTATTCCGGCTTTGTCTTCACCAAATGCATTATTCCTACTAATGGACGCATCACGTATTCCAATCGCTTTTATTTTACATTTTAGGTCTTGCTGGCCGGTAAGTTTATGGTCATACGTGGGCGTGGCCGCATGTCCAGAACCTTTGCTCATTGGTCGAACTAATGACGACGGTTGACACTTTGACGTTTGTTTCGTGACTTGTTATCAATGTTATTAGCATTGCGGTTGTGCATATGTATGAATACACTGTTTGCTATGATATAAATGTGCATTTTGCCGACATATCAAAAGGCCAATTAGGTACTCGTATCTATACAATTTGCAAATAATGGCCGGGGCTCAAGGCATAAATATGATATGCGATGAGCAACAGAAGCAATCTAAGCTGATAAGTGAGGCACACAAAGGCTCAGTATGAAAACCGAGATGTAAAGAGGATAATGTAAAAGCACTATCTACAATAGTAATTAATTACAGTTCTTAAAGTAGCTGGTGGGTATAATTTTCTACTGAGTAAGCAACCTGGGCATCAGATTTAACTTTTATCGAACGCAGCTTTTTATACGTGATTCTCAGTACAAACTGGAACTGGTTCCAGCAAATTTGCAACAAATACCTAGTGTAATAATATTATCGTTGGACGTTAAGTATTCACATTATACAGAATGCGCTTCCATCAAAGATGAGTACACTACTAAGAGACTACTAAGCAGAGATTACTCGTCTACTAATATCTGCTTTTACATGCATTCTGAAGATTAGACAACTTATACCCATGCTCAGTTTAATTTTTTACTTTCAACTATTTTTGAAAGTCAAAACTCAAAAAATCAACAATAGAATAAAAATTAATTCAAACAGATAACGTGGCGAAAATCTCCGGCCTGCATGTCCTCAGGTAATTTTTTTACCTCTATTTCTTATAAGTTATATGAGATGCCAGGCAAAATGCTTTGTATTAAAACTTTGTAACATTTCCAGCGGAATTTGACAATAGCTTAAAATTGTTACGGTTCCAGTATAAAAATAATTAATTGCAGTCAATTTCAGAAAACCGCCTCACTTCACAACAATGCCATACTCGCGATTACTTTGGACGTGTTTTGGTACCTAAGTGCACAAAATTTTATTTAAATAGGGAGAGGGTGCATTGGGAGATACTTTAATAATTCTATATTTTTGTGAACATAATGTATATGTATATAACACTCTATATACTCAGCCCAAAAGTATCAAATAATGTAAAAAACCTCCAAATTGAAAAAAACCTTAGTAAGGCATTCGTTTCAAAATTCCGTATTGGCATTCATACCTATTTTCCATAATCCATGTGCGCAAAAAAGACTTTACGTCTCGTAGCTTCTTTACCAGAAGGCTCTGGTTTTCTTTACCAAAAGGAACCATTTTGCAAAGTTGTAGCAGCTCTTTATAAGAGCTCTCGAAATACCGACATAAAATCGAAAAACACTTGTTTATAAAATGTCCTATTTCTAATCCACTACTGAGTAACTGCAAAATTTCTAATTCAGGAAGTTTTGGATTAGAGGGCATTGACAACATTATGCGGCATTCACATACAGGATAGAATGTTCCTTAGGGAACACATGATCAAAGGGGTAGTGCGATATTCTTAGGATCAAATGAAGCCAATATGACCAAACTTATTATGAAAAAAAATGTCCGGTTAATCTGCTATTGATGGTCAGTTCTTCAAAAAACATGTTTTTTGATAAATCAGAAAAATGGTTTTGATGCAGGAATCGCGCTCATCCGCTTTGGGCAAGCGAGGAATTCTTCACTATCTTGGTACAAGGCTACCAGATTTTTTTATTTGTCAGCTGGCATCAATTGATTTTTTTGGAACGATACACGAATCGTTTTCAAATATTTTTGGGCTCTTTGTAAAATCTTGTGGCATTTATCGTTTTAAAGCAAAAAATACTTCTGTTCTCTTGCCAACTGAAAATTTTAGACACTCATTAACTTTTTACATTAACAAAGCGTAAATAAACTTTTTTGTTTCAGCGGATAGAGCACAGACGAGCTTTAATAAAACTTTCTGTGAATTTGTTGCCGCCAGCGCCAAATTTTGCTAAAGACTCGCTTCTTCATTTCGTAACATTTCGGATTCGGATGATTCAAAACGCAATTCGGACAAAAACGCCTCCGAAAGACTTTGACGATTTCGATCAGCTAAAAATTATGAAAAGCTTCAAATTAATTTATTACAAAAGAATATTATCAATTTTTACGACGTAGTGTCCCAGTTAGTGTCTGAAATTGTTCAATAGCGAGGAAACGGATAACATTTATTTGCGCAAAACCTATGATCGCTTAAAAATTTTGCAAAAAGCCCGAAAATTTTCAAAAAGGATGTGCATTAACTCAAAAAAATCAGTTCACTCCAGGTGCGGAATAAAAAGTTCTGGTGGTTTTTGTACCAAGACACTTAATAATTTCTCACTTGTCCCACGCGGATGAACTCGGTTGCTTCATAATACATGAGTTACATAGAAACAAATTTATCGCCAGTTTCATTAAAATCCATCATTCCGTTCTACCGATATTTCAAAAAACATATTTTTTTGAAAAATGTTCATTAATAGCAAAAGAATCGGACATTTTATCTTAATAAAAGTTAGGTCATTTGGTCCTCATTGGGGTCAAAGAGTGTCTCAGTGCCCCTTTGATTATGTGCCTACGGAACGCCTTCTATAAGAGTTATTTAACAATAAATCCAAAAACATCAGAGAACATATTAAAAACAGTCTTCTAACCACATATGAAATCAATTTTTAAATAATTTCCATTAAGAAAAAAAAACTCTAATGAAAATAAATCTATACTTGATACCAACAAATCGATTGTCATTTTAAATTTCGTTGTGACGAGGGCGTTAACTCTTTTTCGTCGTCCTAAATAACAAAATACTTTAGAAACGTGCCATATAAATAACCAATGTTTGTTGAACAAAATATATATGCACCTCAACTAGCATTTTTGCCATTATACAGTACAGTATATACGGTCACCTGCAGTTTGCCCCTTTAATTTTCAAAACCCTACAATTTGCTCGCTAGCAATGGTTCAAATAGCAAACGACAATGTCCATTCTACTACCAGATTTGAATTAATCCCATTGGGTTACGAAACGGTCGTTTTACTCAAAATGGGCAACACAATTCCATTGATACTGCTTGAAAAATAAAACATTCTTACCTTGCTTTGTGTAGCATAATCCAAAGCCAGCATGCAATCGTTGTAGCCATTTTCGGACTTAATAGCTGTCGCCATGGGGGCACAAATTTGGCTCAGCTGATGACCACCTACTGAGTCTCGATACCACGGATACATATTCATCTGGAAGCGGAAACAAACTTGTTTTAGAAGCGAAGTTAACTTGTAACTTTGTAGGCTCTAACTAAAGAAGATACATGATGGTGCACATTATTCGGGATATATCCTCGACTAGTCGAAACAAATTGGTTTTTCAAATCTAACTCTTGGTGATATATTGGGTTTTAAGTAGGAGTTAAGAACAGTGCTGACCACATCCGGCTCGAAGAACCAACATTGGGACTTAATGTTTCCTAATTGTTGCCACCATGATGGCATCTACTTAATTTTATTCGATGTGACCATAGAAAGACTGTTTACGTTGGCACAGTTTGAGCATTCCGACCAGCTTTACAACAACAAAGCTCCACAGTGTTCCTGTAACAACGACGCCCGAGCCGTCGTTAACTTCATTCTCATTTTGAACTTATGAATTAACATGCTAATAATTTTCCTTATGACTTTTTAAAATAATTTTTATCTGATAGTGCCATTAACCGCCATACCGATAAATGCATTATAAATTATAAAAAGGTTAGTTTCTAGAAGGCATAATACAGAGACTGTATACGATTTCTAAATTATTGTGGAAAAATTTTAGTCCAAAATTCAACTGTAGGAAATGACTTCCAGTAGATAATGTCCAAAAATTGATCTTCTAAATTAAGTAACTTAAGTTATTTTATGCAAAATATTAAAACGTTGAACCTTAATTAAAATCTGATTAAATGCAACCGTTTTCCAGATAAATGCGATTTGTTACATGAATTATAAATGCCTTAATAAAAGCTCATATTTTCTCCTAAAACAACAAGTCAAACAGAACCATATGGCCATTTAATTATTCAATTTTTTTGTGCGTTCGAAATGTTTAAAAATTTTACATATTACGTTTCATATTACTTTCTGATAATCCTTAACAATTTTGGTACCCTTTATTTGTAACAGCGTGTCCGACCTATCCGAGAAAAAAATTGTGGTGTGGTTTAGGTAATAGTTTCCTTTCATTTCATTTTATTTTCCTCAAATTCGATCATATGGTATCATAACAACAAATCGTCAATAACAAGAAATTCTCAGTTGGTTTCTTAGTAAAAGTAAAATTCCAATTTTTGCTTCTAACAATACAATCATTCAACTGAAAAAACCTTGCAAAGTCCTAATAGCAAATCCATATCATATTTAATTTATCATGGACAGAGAAAGGTTTTCCGTGAACTTTCTTGTTGTTGTGTTCTGGGGTGTTGAAAATTAATAAACTACTTTCATAATATGCCGTTTCATATAACCACGTATATCCGAGGGCCAAACTGTTTCCATATAATAAGCCAAACCACAAAATCTTATAGGTAAGAATAGAAATCATCGTGTACTTAATACGGACTTAATTGATACCTAAATCTTTCGATTTGGATTCGGTTTACCAATCCACGCCAGAACGGTTCATTATTTTTTTCCACGAAATGAGGAACGTTTTTTGTGGTCTGAGTGTCTTTCCATTTATATCTTGTCGTCCAAATACATCGGATGAACGGTTACGCAATATGATCAATTAGCCTGTGGTTTTGTTATATCTTTTCATTCTTTTCTCCGTTACAGCAATTCTCAGTGCGCTATTGTACAGGCACACGTATGGTTTGGTGGTTTTTAATCTGGTCCACTTTTAATTAAGAAACTTCTTAACTTAAACCTGACAATAAATTAACAGTTATTTCTCCAATTAAACCGACTAACAAGAACCACAACTTAAATGTTAGTAATCAATTGATATTAGCAGTGCGTATGCAATAAACATATATTTAGTAAGCGATGTGCACTCATTTAGCTGTCCTGTCCTGTCTAGCTTGAAATGTTCAAGTGCAAAAATTTTCAGGAGATGTAAGTAAAACTCAAACCAAAAGCCGAAATGTATCATTTTAATTGAGCTTTTCCATATATTTAACAATAATTGCGTATTTTTCTAAATGTTGCTCCATCCTCATAATTGTATTCCGTTAGACAAATTACGACAATGACGAGAAAAAAGTGAAAATATTGAATGCGCTGACCAGTTACTGCAAAAGATTTCATTGCACGAACAATAAATTAAATTAAAGGGTAAGGCGAAACAAACCATGTAATACAAAAAATTCTATACACTTTTAATGAAATACTTACAGTATAGGTACACAAAGAAGGTTTATAATTTTGCGCTACCATTACGGAGTAAATGTGAATTTATTTCCGTGAATACTTCTAAAGCACGCATGAAACTCGAATTCAACAAATATTGATTTTAAGAATGGTAAACATATGGCAGGTTGCATGATTACCATAAAACATAAGTTTTTTCTGATGCAGAAACAATAAATAATATTAAACAAATATTTCCATTTTATGTAACTCCTTATTAAGGGGCACGGCAGTTAGTCTAATCGGCAAACCAGAACTGAACGCACAAAATAAATTTATTGTAAATGGATTATAACGAATATAATAAATGTTAGATTTTTTAAAAATAATACAATGGGTCAAAAACAAGTCTGTTACATACAGAGAGAGAAACAATAATAAGCTGAAAATAATCGTTGAGTATTGCTTTTATTGCCTGAATATATTCCCGACATCATGGCTGCGGGGTGTTTTTGCAGATTACTTTATCTTAGGAATTTTACCTTCTTGGAATACATAGACTGATGATTGATGGCCGCTGATTTGGTTTTGTTTATTAATTACTATTTTCAATTATTGTTTATTAATTACATCATATCAACAAGATCGAACATATACGACGCAAAATACAATAAAAAATTAAAAGGACTGTATTTAAAAACCAAAAAATTTGTCAGTAAAATAAATTAATTAGTAAAGCTTATTACAGTTAATATAAAGTTGAGGTGGATACCCTTCACAAAAAAAATATCATTCACTATAGGATACCTACCCTTCACAAAATTTCCTTTCATATTTTTATGTCACTTACTTTTTTAATGGCAATTTTTTTTTTGTTTGCCAAATCGTTAACCATTTCTCGTCAATGTTGGCTTAATTGATGTATGAAATACAAAATAAAGTGTGCAGGTGGGGTAAGCCGCACAGCTTACTTCCAATTGCTTTCCTGATATCGGAGTTGCAATTTATTGTTTTAATTGATTTCCCCAACAAGTATTATTTATAAGATACTCAAATAATTGACATAAAAAAATTAATTATGTGTTTAGAACGGCCTTGATGTTTTCACTATCATATAACAACGACCTTTATAAGAATGAATGCAAACATGTCTAAGATTACGTTAATATTTTACAGATTTTTATAAAATACTGAAAAAGCGTAAATGTAAACATTGGCTGTGAGAAAATTAATGTCTATCTAGAGATATTATAGCTCACTGTCTGACTTTTTGCCTTTGTTAGTTCCGAGTGCTCTTTGGTTTGATTTATTGTGTTTTTCACCTAGTAATTTCTAAGGTGCTGATTTATTTGTACTACTAGATTTGTAATTTATCTGTCATTGTTTCCGGAGGCCAATTGTTGTTAATAATTTACAATCTTAGAATTTTATTCCTCCAGGTGACTTGCGTTTGTACAATGCGTTATGCAAGCGTTTTATTGTTATTTCCGTCGCGGTTTAGAACACCTAACTGATGCTTTATTAGAAACATTATAAAGCTTCTCCTCGCACTATTCTCATTACTACTTTTTTAGGTGGTCATGTCCATGCTCCAATAAGAATTTTCAAATTTAAACTTACGTGCTTTAAAAATAAGTGCTCCTGATTAGTTGTAAAAAAATTCCATGGATTCGATGCTTGATTCAGTTTTCCCAAAACTATTGTGAAACAAAGTCATTCTTATTATTTTTATGTGGGTGTTTGTATCTTATAATGAGTATGTTTGAAATATCTTCTTCAGTTATAAAATTACGAAGTTAGGTATCTTGTGGATTTTACACTGTTTTTTTTGCATGATGGTATGGAGTAGCTATATTTGAATATTTCACAATAACATTTCATTTTACGAGTGTGAATTGCGTTTGTCAAATTTAATTTCAAAGTTCCAGAGTCTGGGAACATATAGAGTATGTGTATGTTTATTCTGTCAGGTTCAATTTTCGCCCAGGCAAATGCCAAATTTTTGTTTCAAAGTCCATCGATTTTTTTGCCATAGACATAAAACTATCAATGGCTGCTAGAAAAATTCAAAGAAACATTAAGAATGGTGTTATTTTCTTTACAGCTGCTCTGAATTCCATACTGCTGCAGCCAATTTACTCTCTCAGGTTCGTCTTATCTATCTCTGTATAACAATTCGCAAGAGTTTATATTTTGAACGGCGCATAACGTATCCCGACACTCAAGTTTTCTTCTATTCGTAGAAGTTACAACTTCACATTTTGGTCACATATTGGTGCCTATTTCGGCTAAGTATATCCGTGCTTAACTGCATATTGTAGTCTGGAGAAGACGTGTTCTCCGTTGAGAAGTATTCTCACTCGCAATTCTATATAAATACCTTGTTTGAGAAGAACTTTTTGTATTTTTCAATCACCGGTCTTGCTAATTCTACTCTTCTCCTGTCTACCTGATATAACTCCCGTTCCTATACTTACATATACATAAGACTGTCCACAATTATTTACATAGGTACATTACGGTTCGTCGGAGTTTTACTTCATCGATCATCCCATTTGCAACATTTGAGGTTACGTTTGTTCACAATACCAGCTTGGGATTACCCTGAAATTTTCTCGTAGTTGACAAAGAACAAATTCACATCTTGAATAAACTCAAAGCGTGTCAAAATTATATTAATCCCCAAGTGCTCCTTTCGGACTATTTTTCGGTTCTTTTTAAGACTCACTCAGTCTTACTTAATTCCTCATCTGATCTGGTGTAAGTCCTATTGTTTTATTTATTAATCTTTGTGTCTGTATTCCGAACATTCTCTAGGTTTTCAGGTAAAAGTTCATCGTAGTCAATGTTGCGGGCTATTGTTTAGCAGATTATCATCGAACAGTTTTACTACTTCTTCAGGGATCTGATCG